TGTCCTGAGAACAGGGCCTGGCCTACATCCCCTCCTTTCTACAGCCACTGCTACCTCCATCACACCTCCCCTGAATTCAAACTCTTCTCTTCCGGCCCAAGGCTCCCAGCCTCTCCCCTAGATAATGCCAGCAGCCATTCCTGTGGACCACTTTCCTTGTCTCTCTGCCATGCTTAAAACCCTTCAGTGGTTTCCCTTTGTTCTCAGGATCAAATCTTTGTCCTTAGCGTGGCACTCAAGGCTCTGCCTGACCTTGCCTTACTATAAAATGCAACAGAGGAGAGGATAGGAATGCTGTGGAGGGGTGGAGGAGATTGAGGGATAATTTGCCTACAACTCAAAAAAATGTGAGGGAACATTGTTTGAGAATCCATTCTTTGTTTACACATGGAGTGTGTTCCAAAAATTTCCTATGTATCAAGGCCCTGGGTGGGCTAGTTGGTGGTTCCCAGACTTGTGAATTTCACTAGCAAGTAGATTTTTCTTTTTTCTTTTCTTTTCTTTCTTTCTTTCTTTCTTTCTTTCTTTCTTTCTTTCTTTCTTTCTTTCTTTCTCTTTCTTTCTTTCCTTCCCTTCTTTCCTTCCTTCCCTCCCTCCCTTCCTTCTTCTTTTAATTTGGGGACAGATAGGGTTGGCAACCTTTTATTTTGCAAAGTAAGCACATTAAATAAAACACTACCATCTCTTCATGAAATAAAGAACTCTTGCATACCACACAAAAATCCATGATTTCAGAATAAAGGTCAGTACTCTAACTTTATGGGGGAAAACTTGCCACAACAACCTCATTTTTCTTATTTCGCCTGGGCCTGGTAAAGACTTGCGTCTGAAGTCAGGCATCTGGGGAACTGTTGCCGCCCCACAGTGCTCCCCCCACCCCCGCAGCTAGCTGTTTGCTTTCCCATTGATATGCACGGAGTCTTTGTCTCCAAGCTGGCCGGCACCATGGGGAGTGGGAGGGGAGAGTGTGGCGTCCCTTTCCCACCTGCTCTGGAGCCAGGCCCCACAAACTAGTCTGGTTTGAGGGATTAGAGCCCAAGGCAGTGGGAGGAGAGAGGAAGCAGTAGAAGGGCTTCTGTAGCCCTGAACATAGCCGAGCTGCCTTGGGTCCCAGGGGCCAAAGGGTGAGCTTGAGTTGGGGCAAGGACTTTGTCCCTGACCGTGCGGGCCTGTGAGCTCCCTCCCCACTCTGGTGCCCCAAAGATCAGTGGGGGGGGGGGGCGGGGTTTACCAGGAAATGGCTCTCCTGCTGTGGACAGTGGTGCTTTCCAGATGGGTACCTTCAACAGCAGTGGGGGTGGTGGCAAGGCCATTCCAATGGCTCTGGTGACCAGGTACCACCAGGTGGGGCTGATTTTGGCCACCAGTAGGGGGGGCCACCTTGGAGGACTTTGCAAGGAGGGGTTTGTGGCACTTGGGAGCAGGAACAGGAACTCTGCAGTAGTGAGAGTGACATGACAGCGGTTTCGGAAGTGAGAACACACCTTCCGAAGGATCTGGTGTGCAATGAGGATGGGCCAGAGGGTTGGGAAGCGGCAGAGTGACAGGCTAGCCCTCAGAAGCCTACCTCAGGTTAGTGTCAGCCATCCCAGCCCCATCTGGGCCTCTCCTGTGCCCCCAGACCAGCCTGGTGGCCATTTGTCCACACCCCACCTTTCTGCCTGGGTGAGAGCTGAGGAAAGGTGGGCATTTCGGGAGGGGAGCTTGTCAGGTCACATGGCTTTCCAACTGGTGACAATTTTAAGGACATAAGAAATTCAGGAAGGGGTAAAGAGTAGCAGGAGGGTGGAGTCAAGGGGCCCGTGCGGAGACAAGGCAGGCTTGGCCAGGAGCTGGTCCCAGCACCCATGAGCAGTGGTGGTAGGCAGTGTAAGTATGTATGTACAGATGGTACAGGGTGGTGGTGCAGAGAATCATGGTTTGTAAGTGTCGAATTTCCTGTATGTAAATCAACTCCATGTTCAATTGCAATGCAGTGGAGTAGCAGGATCAGGGCCTCGATGTCATCAGCCCTCTCAGACTCACACTACTAACCTAACATATAAGAGAGACTGAGAGACAAACCAGATCCCAGATGAATCATTTTAATAGGGAGAGTTATCTGGTAGGATAACTGACCTCAGACACTTGCATTATTTTGATTAATGCCTTTTTTTTCTCTTTTGAGTGGGTGTTTTTTGGCACCTGGTAAGCATCATCCTTTTCTGTCGGTCTTATTCCTATGTCATCCCCTGTTTGGAAGGAGCACATTCTTTCCGTCCTACACCACCACCTGTTAACATTCATCCTTGCCATAGCTCAATCTACTAGAATGGAGGCTGGCAAACTTTTTCTGTAAAGGGAAGCGTGGTAGAGATTTTAGGCTTTGCAGGGTCCATGGTCTCTGTTGCAACTACTCACCTCTGGTGTGGTAGCACAAAACCAGCCATAGACCGTACAGAAATGGATTGGTGGGGCTATTTCCACAAACTTCATGGGCCCTGACATTTGCATTTTGTATAATTTTCCCCTGTCACAAAATAACCTTCTTTTGATCTTTTCAACCAATGAAAAACACAAAAACCACCCTTAGTTTGCAGGCTACAAACAGGCAGGTGGGCTGGATTTGGCCCACAACTACCCCTGAGCTGGAGAATAGTTTTGCTGCACATTACATCGTGGCCAGTGTCTAGCTGGTGGGGTTTGGGCATCTCCACTGCATGTTTACCAGGTAAAGCTCCAGTTGGGTGTGACTGTCCACTGCCTGGTGACTGTCTTTTCCTCACCTCCTCACACCTCCCCAATGTGGAGGAGTAGATAGGTGCTGGGGTTTGCCCCTCAGAGCCTGCAGGGAATCTCCCGGACCATGTCTAGAGCCCTCCTGGTACAGATGGGACCACTGAGGCCAAGGCACAAGGGAATGGCCCAGAACACCCCTGAGTTGGTGGGAAAGTGGGGGCCATACTTGCAGCCTGGAATACATAGTAACTGCTCAAGCTCACAGTAGCCATATTTCTTTAGCTGTTACAAGACTAACAAGAACGCCTCTGTGCTGTGTCTCAGGCCACCCACTTTTCACTATATCAGTTAACCCTCAGCACAACCTTATTGGGTCCAGCCAGGATCTCAACCCTGCCTGGCTCCAAAGCACATGCTCTTAGCCATTCGCTCACTGGGGTTCCTGGCGGTCCTCCTGCCTCTGACAGTGTGGGACTGTAGCTGTTTAACTCCCCAAACTCAAGGAACCTTCATTTTGCTCCTTTTCCCTCTTTAATTATTGAGGTGATACATGAAGTTGTGAGAAATACAAAACAAGGGTAAAATGCGTGGACCATGCCGTGTATATAGTGTGTGTTCAGTAACTACTAGCTATTTCCGTTAATTCTCCAGCTAGTGTCATAGGTAAGTACTGCCTGAAAATCAGGACACTCCCTCACTCCTTATGTTTTGTTTTTCCAGCCCCAGGATTCAGAGCAACGGATGGAAGTCAAACGGGGAAACATGTCGGCTCTAACTCAGGGAGACCCCCGCCCCGTACTTCGGCTCACTCACGGGGCGGGAGCCACCGCGGGGGGTGGGGGGGGGGCTCTTGGAGGTGCTGGTGGCGCAGGGGGAGCGACCGGGAAGCCTGCCGAGGGCACACTGGGGGTAGGTGGTAGTAGCCACCCTCTAAGGAAGACGTGGCCCAGGGTAGCCCTTGCCGAATAATGGCAAGGGCAGGCTCGACGCCGCCGCTCTGCCACTCTGGAGAGCAGTGGAGCTCTCCCTTTGTCCTGGAAAGCCGGCTGCAGCTGGAGCCCGTCTTGAGGGTGTTCACGTCAAAGCCTGCGGCGGGCATTTTGCTGTTCAGGGCAGTGTTGGAATCTGATTTCGCCCAACCCTGGAGATGGACTCCGGTTGCGGCGGTTCATAGGAAAGGACTGCAGCGCGTCTGTCGATCATTGAGCACGTTTTCACATCGACTCTGCAGATGTGAACTTGCGCTTTCATCGCATTCATCAAAGCCTCCGGAGAGCTGACCCTGTCTCCCCCCCCCGTCCTCCCTCCCCACCCCGGCCCGTGGCGCTGCGGCTCCAGGCCGCCCCCCCTCCCTCTCGCCTGCCCCGGCGCCCCCGGCCTTGGGCTCATTTCCTCGAGACGTGCCGCTGTTTACCAACAGCGGGCAGCCACGAAAACGGCCCTTTTCTTTCATCTCCGGACGAGGTTCCACTACAGTTTCCTGCAGGGATCGGCGAGTGGGCGGGCAGCCAGCGGAGTGAAAGCAAGCTCAGTCACAGTGACTGGGGCAAGAGCACGGGTGCTGCGTCCTGGAGCCGCAGCTGGAGGGGCTCCCAGGGAACAGCCTTTTACCGGGAGGACGCCAAGTCCAGAAGGGGAAGAGCCCTGTCCAAGGTCACCCGGCTGGCAGAGCGCACCTGGCGTGTGCGCCGCCTCGGCTCCTGCTCCGGGCCGGGAGGAGTCTGGCGCGCCGAGTGGAAATCACCGGACGCCCTGACCGCCCGCGCCTCCAGCTCCTCGGCCACTGTTGACACATTGCTCCGGGACCGCAGGCTCCCCTCTCGAGGACTGGGGAGAGGGAGCCGGCGAACAACCGGCAACGCGCCGGCTCGCCCCAACCCAGGCCGCCTCACCCTCCGGGTGCCCACGGGCCCCGCCCCTCGCGTACCAGCCCGCCCCCAGGCTAAGGACCTACCCCCAGGCTGCAGCCCCGCCCCTCGCGCAGCGACCCGGCCCCCGAGACTGCAGGCTCGCTCCGCCCCTCGCGCCACAGTCGCAGCCCCGCCCCACCTCACCTGGCCCCAGCCGGGCGCGCCCCCAGCACCAGTGCTCGTGCGTGCCCCTCCTCCGCCCTCCCGGGGCTGTGCGGCGCGCGCCGGCTCTGGGCGGGGCCCTGCAGTGGCGGCGGGGCTCCTCCTCCTGCGGCTCCTCCTCCTCCTCCGTCCCAGCACCTCCCCGACCTCCCCCTCGGGCACTCTCGCGCTAACTGCGCTCCTCCGGGGCCTCTCCGCCAGCTCCCAGCCATGGTGGTCTGGCGCTCGGCGTTCCTCATCTGCCTCGCTTTCTCCTTGGCCACTCTGGTCCAGAGAGGTAAGGCGGGCGGGGGGCGCGCGGGGACCCCGCCCTGTGGGCTCGCGGGGCGGGGGCTTGGCGCCCCGCGGCCCCGTGGTGCGCATGAGCGGCCCGGCCCCCGCCTCGCTGGCCTGCGGCGGCGGCTTGCTGGCGGGTGGGCGGGGCTGTGCGGGGTAGTGGGGGTGCGATCCCCGGGCCCGCGGGGACTGACCTTGCCGCGATCCGTGTGGTCGGAGAGGAGAGACCGGGCTAGAAACAGCGGGATAAAATCCCCCTTAAAATCTTGAACAAGGTGTCACCACCGGTGACAACAGCTGTCTCCAGGAGACTGCTTTTGGGAAAACCTTGAAGAGAGCGCACTCATTCCCTTGAGCGGGGCTTCTCAAAATGTGTTTTGAGGCCACCTGCAGCAGAAGCACCTGGGGAGCTTCCTGGGCGTATTCCTACCCCCTTTTGTCAGGATCTCTGCGGGGACGGTATGGGGGGGGTCAGCGATATGTTGTAGGTCTAACCAGCTCCCCAGGTGCTTCTGGTGCCCGCCCCGGTTTTCTAGCCGTTGGCGATTTTTGCCGAGGAGGTGGAGAGAGAAATGCTGTCGAATCAAGGGAGCAAGTTTCCTGAAAGACCCTCAGAACACCAAGTGTGGTCCAGGGCCTTCATAGGCATCACCTGGGACTTGTTAGGAATGCAGCAGCTCAGGCCCCGCCCCTGACCTACTGAGTCAGATTCTGCATTTTAACTAGATCTGGTAATTCGCAGGCACATTTGAGAAGCATCTTAGAATAAACGCAGTGCGTGGTTAAAAATAGGCCCTCCAACGTGTACAGACAGAATTTTCTTACACTTATTTATATCCCATTTCCACATCAGAAAAAGGTTTGAGGAAAACACTGCAATTGAGCACAGATTTGAGCTCCGAGCTCCCTGACGAGGAAGGCAAATTCAGCTAGTGAAAAACATGAGCTCAGCAGAAGCAAAACTTTGTCCTTGTACTGAGTTCTAGTGAGATTTATGTTACATGTAGGGAACACTGGAAAACAGTAGGCAGTCTAAGGCAGTTTTGCAAAAGATGCAGAAATGTTTCTCATGTGGGCAGCCATCCTGGACTTGCTACAAGAGCCATTCAACATTCTACAAAGGTGTCAGGCTCTGTTCCAGACACTGATGATGCAGCAGTGAACAAGACTAAGACTCTGTCTTCATGGAGCTAACGTCCTGGTGGGGGGAGAAGACACGCACAAACGTCACAATCTACATAATATATTGACAGTGCCATGAAGAAAAATAAAGCAAGTACAGGGTTGTTGAATTTTCTGTTTCATTTTGCTTCTTTGGGGTTAACATTTTAATTTTGTTATGCATTTGTGGGGAAAAAGTCTAATTACTTGATTTGCTTGCATGTAATGATACGGAAATTTTGAAAGTGGAAGCACAGAAAAGTTAGAAAAATGATACTCCCTTCAAGGCTATCTTCTGGAAGTCTTCAACATGATTTGCACATTGAGAAGGGGAGGAGTAGAGATAGGTCTCAGATTTTCACCATCACGTGTTTCACTAGGTGATTTAGGAGGTGGTGGAGGAGACTGAACCAGTGCAACCATTTTACAGATGAATCGGAGGCACAGGGAAGTAGGAGGTAACTTGCCTCAGGTGGCAGAGTTAAGATTTGACCCCAGGCTTATCTGATCGCACAGTCTTTGCTTCTAAGCACCTGGAGGCTGCGCTCCTGCCTTGGGGAAAGTTCTCTGAACCTTGCTTGGTTTGCTCCACCCTATTATGCCTAACAACAAAGGCGTCTTGGTGGGGGGACCTGGAGTGTGTCACTCTCAGATCTGCGGCCCTGCTACCAGCTGCCACCTCCTGAGTGCTTGCTGTGTACCAGGCACTTCACATATCTTGGTTTTAGTTGCCTCAACAATTTTGCTGGTTAGGTATTAATGAGGGGTCCCTGGGCACAGGGCTTGGAAGAGATTGAGCCAGGATCCCACCCCGATAAGACTGCTACCTAGTGATCTTTTTAATTGTAATTAAGAGAACTGAACCGGAGGAAGCTTCTGCTTCAAGGCGGGGAACCTGCTTTGTGGCTCTTTTGTGCAAAGTAAGATGACAAGTATGGGCTTTGAATTGCTGGTCTCTTCTGGGTATCCAGACAGTTACAGTTTGAGAGCTGCTGTGTCAAAACGAACAAACACAAAGCAGGTGCTTAGTTAGGCATCTGCTGCCTCTCTTGGAACCCCACAGTGGTGGATTGGGTGGGCCTGCGCCAGAGCCATTTTAGTCCTGGTCCTCAGTAGTGACCTATGACCGAGAAAGACGAGCAGCCCTCGGAAAGCACATAGAACCTCGAAGCATGATTCGTGAAATCCCCTCAGGCTCTGGCAAGTTGAGACAGACTTCAGGCTTCCAGGAGTTTTTAAAAGAGTGGTTACCAAGTCATCCCCGTTCTAATTTTGGATGGTTTTTTAGTCCAGTGTGTATTTTACTAGCTCTGAAAAAATCCTCTGAGGACAAACATGTTGCCTGTATGCACCTACAGAAATAGGAAGCTGATCTTTTATGCGGTGGGGAGAAGTCTCAGCGGTGCAGGTGGGCAGTAATGATAATGAAGTTTCCATTTCCTGAATGCTTTCCATGCACCGGGCTTTCAGTGCGCCACACACATTTACGCCTCGTAACCACCCCGAAGGGTTGGCACCATGACCCATCTCCTTTTCTTATGTCCTTTGTGGCCGTTTGCATATGGCCTTGAAAAGTAACTCGGTGGTGGGGCACCTGGGTGGCTCGGTTGGTTGAGCATCAAATTCCTGATTTCGGCTCGGATTGTGATCTCAGGGTTGTGAGATGGGGCTCTGCATCGGGTCCCACGCTTAGTGTGGAATCAGCCTGGGATTCTCTCTCCTCCCTCTGCCCTTTCCCCAGCTTGTGCGCTCGTGCGCACTCTCTCTCTAAATAAAATCTCAAAAAAAAAAAAAAGTAACTTGGTGGTAACCTATTTCTCAGATGAAAAATGAGTAGCCCAGTGAGGTTTAGGACTTGAACTCAGGTATGTCTGAATAACCAAAGCAGGGGTCATGAATGCAGATACCCCCAGGGACGGGGCAGGTCATAGAAATGTGGAAAGTGACCAAGAATAAGTGTGATGAATATGTAGGCAAGCCACCAGCTGCTGAGTACCTGCTCCCTTAAAGAGACACAGTGCAGACCTTGAAAATAATATGCTAAGTGAAAGAAGCCAGACACAGAAGTCCACATATTATCCCATTTATATGAAATGTTCAGAGTTGGCAAATCCATAGAGACAAAAAGTAGATGAGTGGTTGCCAGAGGCTGGGGGTGGGGGGCAGGGAATTGGGGAATGAGGAGTGACTGCTTAATAGGTGCAGTTTCCTTTTGGGGTGATGAAAATGTTCTGGAACTAGACAGAGGTGATGGTTGCATAGCCTTGTGAATGCACTAAGAACCATTCAGTTGTACACTTTTAAAGGGTGAGTTGTATGGTGCGTGGATTATATCTCCATTTAACAAAAAATTCGCTGTAGTTCAAGCAGAACAAATGAGAGTGGAGGCAGCCTGTGATCCCTGGGGCTTGGTCGGGTAGAAGAGAGACAGGAGAGCAGAGTGGGCCCCATGTGTTGGTGGCGCTGAGATGCTAGGCTGGGATCCAGGCAGAAGCCCTGTGGGCCTACTCGGGATATTGCTTATGAGCCAGACAGGCCACAGGGGCAAGTGCAGGCTTGGCCCAGAGTTGGGTAACCCCCTACCTCCACCCCCGAGGCTGTGCACCAGGCAGTCATTGCACTGGACTGACAGGGTCTGGGGACAGTTTGCCTTTTAGGGTCACATGTTTTGATTGGTTTTCGGTCCGTTCCTTGCTGTCACAGGTCACACCCCCATCCCCCCTCCCATCATTTTGAGCACCAGGTAACTAAAACGTGTTTGTTTATTTAATGTCCCCCCCCCCACCCCGCAAATAACCCAAGAGCCAGCCTCAGCAGGTACTGAGGAAGGGGCTGAAGCTACTTCCAGGAGAGGTGGGGATGAGGAGGCCTTTTGGCTGCTTGGAGGGGGTGTGGGGGGGAGCTGGTTTGGGTACTGGCGAGTTCAGGAAAGAGACCTTCCAGGTGCATTGACTTTCCTGGGTTCTTCCGCCACCTGGTGTTGGTGCCTTTCCTGCTGTGTGTCCACCCCCTACTCTTTGCACTTGGCATGTAGTCCTCTGCCGCTCTCCGTGTGCTTGGGGAGGACTGGCTGCAGGGGATCCTGTCTCCCAACCCAGACTCGGCTCTCCCTGAGTCTTGCTCATAAGTTCACTGATTGGTCAATCTTGGTTTGCCTGTAGAAGCTTTACGTCATCCTAAACGCGCCCCTAACCGAAACGTGTGGGAAATCCTTGGATGAAAGTAGGTGGTGTTCCAAACGGAGGTGGGTGGGAAGCCCTAATCTCTGGCACCTGTGACTGTTAGGTTACTTGTAAAGGAGAGTTAGGGTAGCTAATCAGCTGCATTTAAATAAGATTCTCCCGGGTTATCCTGGCCAAGTGAAAGACAGAGCCTTTTAAAGATGGAAGATGGAGGCAAAGGAGTCAGAGCGAGTCAGAGAGCGACGTGATAGAAGATTTGAACCAAAGATGGAAGGGCCAGGAGCCAAGGGATGTACGCACAGCCTCAAGAAGCTGAAAAGGGGGACGGACTCTCCCTGAGAGCTTCCAGAAGGAACGTTGCCCTGCTGACACCTTGCTTTTAGCCAAGTGAGACCTGTGTTGGACTTCTGGCCTCCAGAACTGTAAGAATAAAAAAAAAAAAAGTGTGTTAAGTCTGTCGAAATTCGTTGTAGCAGCAAGAGCAACTAATAGGAAAACTAAGGGGTAGATACTAGCCTCCTCTTCATCCATTGAAAAAACTAGCTTGTGATGTTTTCTTACATCGTTTTGATTTTGCTACCTTAAATCAATTCCCAATATGCTGAGTTGAGGCGTTTAAATGTGCAGAAAACTGGATTGCAGTGGTGTTCTCAGTGTG